AGTCTGTGCCCAGAGTCAGCAGACAGAGCAAGAGGACAGAGTGGAGACGGAGAAGAGGCTTACACCGTATGTGCTTGTTGGCCAAATTCCTGTGAATTTGTGGAGGATTACGTCTTCTGTGTGTGCGGTATAAGGGCGGATCACACTTCACAGTCATCAGTCTCTGCACAGGCATGTGTGCACAGGACAACAGATCACAGTCAGAGAGCGTGGAGCCGGACAGACAGACCGGGTCATCGTGCACACAGGAGTTGCGCACAGCGAGACGCAGGTTCGAGACGGGCGAGACGCCCCGCCCGACGACCTCCGAGGCGGACGAGGGCGACGGCATCGGCGGCGATGGCGGGACCGGCGTCATCTTTGACCTGTTCCCCACCAGGGCAGGATTGCGCTAGCATATGCGCCTAGTGCGCACCGGGCCCACATTGATAGGTGACCCGCCCGTCGAGAATATGTGCGGCACGTCCGATGCTAGTGCTTGAGAAGGCACCAACACCGCGGCACGGCCCGTTTTGGCTGCCTGCGGAGATCCTGTCTTAGCACACACAGCAAGTCACTCTGCATCGCTGGGGTGGTTCTTCGCCTCGGGTACCCAGGTGCCGATTGTGTGCGTGTGCGGGAGCTGGTTTGTCGGGAGGGAGGGGCAGGCTGCTCACCCACGTGCACCGGGCCAGTGCTTGCACTTTGAATGCCGTGGCGTGGGGCTCCTGCCCATGTGTGGAGATGCGAGAGGATCGCCCCCCCTTGCCCCACCACTTTGTGTGTGTGGAGAAATTTACCTTCCCTTCCCTTACCTTACCTTACCTTACCTTACCAACCCAACCAATTTTCAAGCATCAAGCTTTTTCAGAATTGTTGAAATAAACGAGTGGAGTGAAGCAAACAGCAAACGCCAAAACATTCACACACAGACGCATTCCATCACCTGCGGTGAGCCGCGGTGAGCGCAGAGCTGACTGATCTCTAGCGCGGTCCTAGTTGGTTGGCTGTCCGTCCGGCTATCGCACTGTTGACGTACCGGCGGCTAACTCATGCTACATGCACATGCACATGAGCATGCATGCAAGTAAGGCCGAGTAGCCGGTGTTCACAGAGCTCTGAACACCGGCGAGAGAGTTTCTCTCGATTTCTTCTGCGAAGAAACGTTCAAAACACTCGGTGTCGAAACACCTCTCCGACACGCTCGGTTTTACGTACTTCACCGTTTAAAGGCTATTGCAATACATGCACAACTGTAATAGTCGGCGGCTCCCGGGCGGGAAAGTTTACCAGGCTCTGACCTGGAACCAGCCCCACGCGCTCGTATGGCACTGCGTGGCTTCTGCTATCGCGCACACGCGAGCTACGATGGGTCGTGCGCGGAGGCGGACAGCGGGCTGTGGCCGACCCCACCAGGCGAGGGCGTGGAGGGTTGCGTGAAGCGTTGTCTTGGGTGTGCGCGGTGCCGATACATCAGCGTTGCGAGAGGAGCATGCGCCTGGTATTCGAGGTGCAACGTTGACGACCTCCGAACTTGGTGGGGCGTTTCCCACATTGGCGCAAACTGGACCACGCTAGAAGTGCGCAACTGGAATCGACAGCTAGACGCCCAGCCTCGCCACCTCGGCCGACCGTTCCAGCTCGCGGCTGCTGGCCGCCGTAATGAGGTCGTCGGCAATGGCGCGCGCCACTCGCGCCTACGGCACTTGCACGCTTGTGTTCGCGGCGCGTCGGTCCAGCAGGTGGTGGCCGTGCTCGAGCCTGATTGACACAGTCATCCATCGCGTCGAGCAGCCATGGCACAAACTGCTCCCTCACCTCCGCCTCAAGCGGGTCGTAGAAGAAGCCCGACTCCGTGAGACTCTGCGTGACTGCCGACTGCAGCTCGGCGAGCAAGCCTGTGGGCGTACCGAGAACGTCGTGGACGTGCCATTTGCGTGCCGTGGGCCGTGTGCACCGCGGTGATGGGAGCTGGACGTGGTCACCACTCGCCTTTGCTAAACGAGCGCGCGGCGACCTTGGCCGACACAGCCTTCTCACGCTCCAGCCGCTGCTTTTCCTGCGCGATCCGCGCCTCCTTCTCCTCTTGCCGCCGACGCTCAGCCTCCTCGAGCCGCTACCCGTCGAAGGGAGGCGCGTCAGAGCGCGGGGTTCGGAGGAGAGAGTGGAGAGTAACCGGACCTGGGCTTCTGCGAGCTCTGCGTTGCGGATCTGCTCAAAGTGCTTCTGGTGCGCTCGCATGCTCGCAAGCTCCTCCTCCTCCATCACCTCCATCATCGCCTGTTCAATCGTCTTGCCGACGATCACCTCCAGCAGCGGCTCAACCTGCAAAGGCGCGGGTACAGGCTCTCAAGATGTATCGGCTTGCACTCGCGGCTGGTCAAGAGGGGCGGTTGGCCTCGACGTCAAAGTCAAAGAGCTCACCGTCTTCAACCTGCGTGCCCGCATCGACCCCACTTTTGACCGGAATAAAGAGCGGCTGCGGGAGCAACTCTACAAATGCATCTGTCTGAACCTCTGCCTCGGCCTCTGGAGGCCGGTCGGTCAGCTCCTCAAGGTATTGCTCCGTCTGCAGCTCGATGTGCTTGCGCCCGTCCACGGGCGGCGGCGCTGAGCGATCGGCCGCCGGCTTCTGGCGCTTTCGGACGTCCTTCGGCTTTGCCTTTGCTTGACTGGCGGTCTGATCAAACTCCTTCGTCCCAGGTCCGACTTGCGCCGCATACGTGCTGCCGCGAACCACTGGTGACATGCAGTCCGCGACGCGCATGCGATACTCCGGCTACCCTGATGCACACATGCTATTGACGCGCCACCCATGTGCACATGAATTTGAGAATGTGTTTGTGTGAGTTGTGAGGCACAGAGGCACACGAGTCCCGGGGGAGAGGTGTAGCTCGTTTCGCGCGAGAGTAGCGCCGCGATAGTAGCCGGCGCGTGTGCGGCGTGGCCTGCGCGCCTGCGCGAAGGGACCTTTGCACACATCTCTGCCAGCAGCCTCGTACACTCTACCCACAGGGTGCAGAGTGCAGGCGCGTTCGGGCACGGGGCGTTGCCACAATGCGAAGAGAGGCGACAAGCAAACGGCTTTCAAACGCAAGGGGGTGGGCGATATTTCAGCGCAGAGAAGAACAAAACAAGTAGGCGGCAGGGTCATACTGTATACGTAGGTGCTCACGTTGAGTAAATCGGTGCTCGACAGTCATGCGCTTTCGCGCAACGCGCGGCCCGGAGGGCGCGTAAAGCCGTACCGGGCGGACGACGTGGCGCAGACTTCCCGGCACAACTCCCGGTGCACCTTGACACCCCCCACGAAGAGCCGGCCGCGAGGGCGTGGCGGTGCGCGAGCAAACTAAAAAAGGGGGGCCACGGCAGCGCGGACGACGCACCGGGCGGCGTCTACACGGGCTCAGCGCCATCAAGATGCAATGCTAAAGGGCAGGTCGCGCCGCAGCGGCTGCGCCGCCGCCGGTCGAGGAGTCGCCTCGCCCGCAGCCGGCGGGGGCACGGGCTGCTCCTGCCGCGATGCCTCGTCCACAAAGAGCGAGTACAGGACTGGTATCTCCTTGGAGGAAGGGCCGCCACGGTGGTCGCCCAGCGTCGCGCGTGGCAGAGGCAGGCGGAGCTGGCCGGCGACCACCTGGCGCGCCAGCTTCTCCTCCGGCTGGCCCGCCTCGGCGAGGAAGACCGACAGCGTGTGGTTGTACCCTGAAAACTCGAGGTACTCTCGGATCGCCTCGTTGAGCAGTAGCTTCTCCTGGCTGAGCCGTGGACGCGGGTCGCTCGTGTCACGCACCGCCGAGAACACCTCCGCCTGGATCCGCGCCCGCAGCTCCCGCAGAACGCCCTTGGCGTCGAGCGTCTCCCGCAGCGCGGCGCGGAGCGCCTGCTGGTCGCGGAGCTCGGCCGCCATGGTTGGTCGCAGTGTGAGCGTATGAGTGAGCCGAGCCGCGAATTCGCGCAGCTATGACGGAGCGCCTGGGCAACCGTACTAGTACGAGCGCGAAAGAATTTTGCGGCGCGACACGACACTGTGGGCACGGGACTGGCGCGCACTGGCACTAACACAGGTACACCACGGGAGCCGCGAAAGCGACTCCTGCCGAGGATGGCGAGGCACTTAGCTCCGTGCACTCGACCGACCGCCCGCGCGAAAGAATTTTGGGCAAGGTAAGAGTTCTCTTCCTAGTGTTGAGTGTTGTGAGTGAGAGGGAGATTGGTTGTAAAATTCTAAGGGCTCAAATTACTGCGAGGTGGCATAAAGGTTGCTGCGAGAATTGGCGAGAGACTGCGAAGAGATAGCCCAAGGGTGGGCTGGGCGACGGCTAGCACCACACTCCTCTCCTTAAAATCCCTGTGTGGTTAGCGGCGTGTGCCGCGCCTCCCATGCCATCCCTCCCTTGGCTCGAGTCCCTTGGCGGGCCTGTTTTCTATCTTTCAGGACCCTGTCGTGTGGGTGAATCCTGCCCAGCCCCCGCTACGTGTCGCGATGCGCTCCCCGCTCCCGTTCCCCTGGTGTCCCTGGTGGTCGTCCTTCCAAGATGCTGCTTGTGCAGGTGGCGCGACTGTCTGGAGCCAATATTTCTTCTGTGGTACTCGCCCTGCGAAGGGCTCAGTGAGTGAGACCCCCCAAGGGGCCAAGGCGCGCGACAGGCGACACACTTTGTCGTTGGTTAAAGTTCTTTGATTCTCGCAGGAGTCGCTTTGGCGGCTCCCGTGGTGTACCTGTGTCAGAGGGAGTTCTTTCTTTGTTTCTGCCAGCGACGCAGCGAGCGAGCGAGGCGGATCAACCACATGCACATGCTCATGCATGTAGCTCTCTCTGCATTCTGTGTGTGTTTGCATGCCGCCTGCCTTGGCAGTCCCACACCTTTTACCCGTCGTATAAAGTTGCTGAAGGCTCGCAGTCCGCCGTTGCGGCAGTTTTCCTTCGTCTCTAGGAACTTCTCAAAGAAATCTCCCGAACATAGACTTGAACGGACTGGACCTGCTTTCGTTGTTGACCCGCTCTTGGCCTATCGTCGCTGTCATTGTGGTCCGCTAGCTTGTTTGCGCAGCCAGTGAGAGCTCTGGCTAACCGAGCGGTCCGCAACGAGACGCTTCTCGCCTCCAATATGCTTTGCGAGCAAGCCGACCTCCTGCCGCAGACGAACGGCGCGACGCCCTCCCAAACTTGGGCTGAATCCACTCGCGCCGCCAACGCTGACCCGCGCGACGCGTCAATGCCGCCTCTGCCTCAAATCATGTCGGTCGTCGACATTGACGCCCTCTGCAGCGGCTGCTTTGTCGTGAAGAACGCGGACTATGGCAGCGGTGGGTTCAGGTCCCCACTCGCACACTGTCACCTCAAGCGCCCGCCATGCTCTCGCCTCAGCAGCGCCTCTGCCCCACCTGCTTCGCAGTCGTGTGCGGCGCGCTGTCGATACGAAGACGGGCGAGCTGCTGGCCATCAAGCAGCTCCGCTCCACCTGCGCCTCATGCACCGGCACCTGCACCCATCTCGCCGCCGCTCGCGACGAGGTCCGCGCGATGCGCCGAATGCGAGGCGCGAGGCACGTGGTGGGTTATCGGTGCGCGACGCCGGCGGGCAGCGACTCCCCCAGCCAGCGCTCACTCACCGCCTCGCGCGTTGGTAGGGCACACCTCTACCACGCCGCGAGCGGCATGCACGCGATCGTGATGGAGGCCGCCGGTGGCGGCGAGCTCTTTTCGCGCGTGCTGGCGGGGCTGACGGAGGCCGAGGCTCGGCCCATCTTTGGGCATATGGCCGCGGGCGTCCTGGAGATGCACACCCGTGGGGTGGCGCACCGTGACCTCAAGCTCGAGAATGCGGTCTTCGACGCGGACGGCGCGCTGCGCTGGTGCGGTTTTCGCCTCACGCCGCCAGGGGGGATTGGGAGGGGGCGCTCAAGAGCCCTAGCCCCCCCCCCCCCCCCGCCTCAGGATCGACTTTGGGCTGGCAAAGGTCTTTGATGCGGCCCTCAGCGAGACCGAGCGGAGCCCGAGCGCGGCCGCGCGCCAACCCGCTGCCGGGGGGCTCTTCAGCGCATGCGGCTCCGACTCCTACCTCGCCCCCGAGGTGTACGCGCTGCGCAAGAGCAACACCTCTGGCTCTGCGAGCAGCCTGGTGCCGGGCTACGATGGATACGCTGCGGATATGTGGTCGCTCGGGATCTGCCTGTTTGCGATGGTGGCGGGCATATTTCCCTTCACTTCGGCTGACGTTGCGTCGCCGCTGCTGGAGCAGATGGCGGTGGCGCAAGCGGCAGGCGAGCCGAGCGTTCCGCTCATCTTTGAGTACTATGGCCGGCCGTGCACCCTCACGGCAGCTCTCCTCGGACTGCTCGAATCGCTGCTGCGAATCGACTGGCGGTTGCGACCGTCGGCGGAGAGCGTGGCGAGCACACCGTGGCTGTGCGCGGGTCCGCCCGTTGCCCGCCCTCTCCACCTCGCGCGCGTCTACAGCACGCCGCCTTCGAGCCCGCGGCAGGGGGGCTGCAAGCGCGGGCGCTCCGACGCGTCGCCGCAGACCCCAAAGGATGGGCAGAGGAGGAGGAGCTCAATGGCACCGTCATCGACTCCCGCGTTCATCGATTGCGCGTGCGAGGAGCAGCTCTTTGCTCCCAAGCGCCTCGCCTTCTCTAGGGTGCCTGGCTTTGCGTAGTCAGCACGTGCACACACATGCCCTCGCCCTCACCCACGCCACCCTACGGCTCTCCAGCCCCCCACCCACTGGCGTATTAGCTATTACGCTTGGCTCGTGTTACCTGTCTGCGCGTGAGCTTCTGGCCACGGCCTATCGCCTATCCCTCTGGCTCTGCACACTGCAGCCTCCGCGCGGCGCGGCGCGGCAGCGATCCCGCAAGCACACTGACACGCACACGACTAGAGCGCACTCTCCGGCACGCGCGGTCTCTCTTACCATTTTCTCGTAGTAGCCCGGAGGACTTTGCCCTTTCAGGTGACAGAGGTGTGTCTATCTGCACGCGCACTGTCAGTGTCACTGCACACTGTGGTCCCACGCGCCACGGCCCCCCACGCGCCGCTCCGCGCGCAGTCTGGGATCTGGGTGTGCACTCTGTCTGTGTCTCAGAGTACTCACGTATGTCCGGAGGTTGTGGGTTGCGGAGACATCCTCAGAGACACATTCACCTTATCTGCATTTCTACGTGTACTCCATCAAAGTCAAAGGGAGAGAAATCTATCATGTGTACACCGGAACACCGCACGGACGACGAGCGAGTCTCGAGACACGGCAGGGCAGACAAGTGGCGCGCCCAAACAAGCCCAAAGCGGCGATCCTCTCTCTCTGCCTCGCACACCGCTCTTCGGCTCCCGCCCTCTAGACTCTCTAC